CGGTATCTGGTTGCTTCGTGTTGCTCAATCTTTAGTCTTCTGTGTTACAATTGTGTATTGTTATTGTTGTTTATTTTTTCGTCGTATTCTTTTTGTTCTTTTGTTGTATGTTTTTATTGGACTTATGGTCTTTGATACCCCCTTTGTACGTTCTGTCTCTTTTTAATGTGCGAATATTAAAATTAAAACACCGAAACAAGTCTAAACAGGACTTTCGACCATAAACCTAAATTATGGGTTTGTACTTACATGAGCAACACGACGGGAGCAACTAGTGGAGCAGGATTTGCTTACCCTTTTTTACACTTGTGATCTCCCCGGATTTTGATAAGGTTAGTATTGCTCAGTTTTTAATTTTTTATGTTGTGTTTTATGTACTGTTGTTTGTCTTTTCGTCGTTTTTGGTTTTTTTGCTATGGAATTGTCATTTCCCAATCTAATTAAAATATAGTTCTCTGATTTTTATTATACTTTTATATGTACGAGCACGCTAGTTTATATAGGTCTGAATTTTAATCAGATTTGTCATTTCCATTTAATAGGTGTTATGAACGAATCTGTGGGTTTAAATTACTTAAGATCATTTCAGAGTGTTTCTATTTTCAATATAATATGAGTTCAATGACACTGTAAAACGATTGACAGAACTAGAATCAGAAAGAATGATAATAATTGTTTTTAAATTCACAAAAACATAGATGTATTTTATTCGTACATTTAGTATATAATGATTACAAAATATTACATTCGAAATAAAGAAATAACAGTAATCTTTACTTGTTAATCCAAACCACAGTTTCATACACATATTTGATTTTATAACTAATTACATATTTAAAAATGTTCGCGCCTCCTGTTGTTGACTTTTTGTCATATTCGGAATCCTCTAGTTTAATCCATAAAGAGCCTTTCAAAATTTTGCCCGGGAAACCCTTCGTATCTTTTGATTATTTTATTACATATAGTTTAAAAAGACATTTTAAACAATCTTATAAATCATTGTTATTTTTTCAAAGTGTTTGAAAGAAACAAATGTGTCAATGTTAAATGAAAGAAAAATCTAGAGAGAATCATTTCCCGCCAAATGTTCAATTTTCTTCAATCTCAAAAGCAAGGACACGGACCGTCCTTCCATATTTTTATGCTTTTTAAGTTGTTTATATACTATCAATTTATAACCGTCTTTTAGAAACCTTGTTATTCTATATCAGAGGAGCGAACATCCTTAATTGCTTTCTTCACATGACGTGTCAATTCCAATGTTTACAAAAGAGCAAGAAAATACCAAAGGAACAATCAAGCATCATAAGTAACCAGACTAAAACAAAATCCGACTAAAGTCAAACAACAATCCAGGAAATCCTTAACACTACACAAAACACTCAAGACTAAGCAATGGAAATCGCACTTAAAAAGTTGATGAACAGTTACTGTTGCTTGCACTAGTGGAAAACGAAAACATATTAACAAAAATCTTTGCCGACAAACACCAAAAACGTTACTCGTAAGTTATAAAATAATTTGCATGGCTAATGCAGACAAACATTTCAAGAAATATCACTCGTGCTATATTAAGAGGATAGCAATCATTGCTCATACAAACAAATACCAAAAATGATCGCGATTTTTCCAGAAGCATACAAACACCCATTAAAAAAGCTAAGCTAGCAAAAAATAAAGGATGTAGCTCCCCTGTGTCCTTTCTGAGCTTCCATTTGGTCTTTAAGTGCAGTACAATGCCCACATATGAACTCGGCATTTTTATTTTTGAATGGAAAATATAAACTTGTTATTGCAAAGAAAATTATTTTAATTACTGGAAAAAGGTTATTTCTCCTATAGAACAGCAAAACTACATGCATCTATTCAATTATTATAATGGTTTATATAAACACATCCCCAACAAGGCCCTTCAGTTAAAAACTATGCCCTTTGATCTAATCGCCTTGATAGATCCTTGTTTCAACCGGAACCCAAAGTGTGACCCTCTAGATTGTAGACAAATTAACAAATATTGTCGTCCCAATTTGTTTTTGCTTGTTACCCATAAAAGTTTTATATGTATTTATTTGTTGTTAATGAATATATATTTGAACTCTCTGCTGTAATTAGTCATATAACCTATGTCGTGTTTAACACATATTTAGAATTGTGCAAGCGTCTTACCTGATGTTCGGTTTGACTTTTTTATTGTATAAATTTCAAGATTGTTATGGTGTACTAATTTTTGCACCTTTTGTTTGCGGTATATCATCTTTTCCGCAAGTTTATTTTTTTCTGTTTGGTATTAAATTATTAGTTAAGATCCATTTTGTTACATCTGGTGATCCGTTTATTTGGCAATCGCCAATGGCAGTCAGCAGGGTTTAGAACATCCGTTGTTCGACCTGCTAGTCAAATGTGTTTTGTTAAAATATACTTTTTCACTTTTTGGTCTTTTGGAAAATATTGTTTGTGCTGTATTTAGACCCCTCTACCAAGAAATTTGTTTTGCAAGCACACGTATAAAATTTGCGGTTTTTATCCAACGCTGAACGTTGTTTTCAATTTAGACCTGTTTATATTTTTTCGTTTGGGCTTGTATTATATTTGCCTTCGGGTTTATATGATCCGTTCATCCTATTTCGACTCTTCAAAATTCAAGAGTCTATCCTAAATTGAGGTAAATTATATGGCCTTCCAAATACCGTTTCGATTCCTCACATCGCTGAAGAGACATTAATTGTCGAAATCCGGATATGATGTACTAATTTTTGCACTTTTTGTTTGCGGTATACAATCTTTTCCGCAAGTTAATTGTTTTCTGTTTGGTATAAAATTAATACTTAATATCCATTTTTACTTCATCTGGTGGTCCGTTTATTTGGCAATCGCCAATGGCATTCAGCAGGATTTAAGAACACCAGTTGTTCGCCCTGGTAGTCAAATGCGTTTGGCTAAAATATACTTTTTCACTTTTTTGGTCTTTTGGAAAATGTTGTTTGTGCTGTATTTAGACCCCTCTACCAAGAAATTTGTTTTGCAAGCACACGTATAAAATTTGCGGTTTTTATCCAACGCTGAACGTTGTTTTCAATTTAGACCTGTTTATATTTATTCGTTTGGGCTTGTATTATATTTGCCTTCGGGTTTATATGATCCGTTCATCCTATTTCGACTCTTCAAAATTCAAGAGTCTATCCTAAATTGAGGTAAATTATATTGCCTTCCAAATACCGTTTCGATTCCTCACATCGCTGAAGAGACATTAATTGTCGAAATCCGGATATGATGTACTAATTTTTGCGATTTTTGTTTGCGGTATACAATCTTTTCCGCAAGTTAATTGTTTTCTGTTTGGTATAAAATTAATACTTAAGATTTATTTTGTTTCATCTGGTGGTCCGTTTATTTGGCAATCGCCAATGGCATTCAGCAGGATTTAAGAACACCAGTTGTTCGCCCTGATAGTCAAATGCGTTTGGCTAAAATATACTTTTTCACTTTTTTGGTCTTTTGGAAAATGTTGTTTGTGCTGTATTTAGACCCCTCTACCAAGAAATTTGTTTTGCATGCATTATAAAAATTGTGGTTTTTATCCAACGCAATCATAGGTTTGAACGTTGTTTTCAATTTAGACTTGTATACGTCCGTCTAAACAAGTGACAACTCTACTACAGATCCATCCATTGGATCACCAATGAAGGTGATACACGGCTGAAAACACATATTATATTCATAATTACTCTAAATATCAGCACAACAATGTTAAAATCTGCAAATTTACTGAAGCAAATTTTTGTTTTTCCCTCGCCGGAATTCGAACTCATGCATGCTTCCACAAATTCGCAGATTAAACATTGTTGTGCTGATATTTAGAGTAATTATATATATATATATATATATATACAACACGTCTAAACATCAGCCCAACAATGTTAGATCTGTAAATTTGCTTTCGCAAAATTTTCATATATATACTTGTTTATATTTTTTGTTTGGGCTTGTATGATATTTTCCTTCGGGTTTATATGATCCGTTCATCCTATTTCGACTCCTCAAAATTCAAGAGTCTATCCTAAATTGAGGTAAATTATATGGCCTTCCAAATACCGTTTCGATCCCTAACATCTCTGAAGAGATATTGATTGTCGAAATCCGGATATGGTGTACTAATTATTGCACCTCATGTTTGCGGTATACCATCTTTTCCGCAAGTTTATTGTTTTCTCTTTGGTATTAAATTAATATTAAGATCCATTTTGTTACATCTGGTGATCCGTTTATTTGGCAATCGCCAATGGCATTCAGCAGGGTTTAAGAACATCAGTTGTTCGACCTGATAGTCAAACGCGTTTTGCTAAAATATACTTTTTCACTTTTTTGGTCTTTTGGAAAATGTTGTTTGTGCTGTATTTAGACCCCTCTACCAAGAAATTTGTTTTGCATGCATTATAAAAATTGCGGTTTTTATCCAACGCAATCATAGGTTTGAACGTTGTTTTCAATTTAGACTTGAATATATATATATAAACCGCAATTTTTATACGTGTGCATGTCAAACAAGTTTCTAGGTAAAGGGGTCTAAATACAGCACAAACAACATTTTCCAAAAGACCAAAAAAGTGAAAAAATATATTTTAACAAAATTCTTTTGACTAAAAGGTCGAACAACGGATTTTCTTAAACCCTGCTGACTGCCATTGGTGATTGCCAACTAAATTGATCATGATTTGGTGGTGTTACATCTTACAAAGTCTATCCATTTATTTAAGCAAAGAATTCCGCTCAAGCCGGTGCTAGAGGCCGTCTTAATCTTGCAGTGAAATAGAGTTTTTCTTTGTTCGTGTTAAAGGCCTCACTGTGACTTTGAGATGAAGAGCAGCATTGAAAGCGCTGTTCCTTTGCTTTTTGTGTTGGTTTTTTTTTCTTTTTTTTGTTGTTGTGCATGAACTGATTTTGTGTCATGGATGGATACCCCATATCCTTTGTTTTCTATTATAAGAAAACAAAACATACCATTCAAAATGAAAACTGTTTTATGATAACTTAATAAAAACAAATTTTCTAAAATAAATGTTAAAATCTTGAATCTAAATTTTCACTACATTTCCCGTTAACAAGTAATTTTTTGAACAATGTACAATATAAATCATTATTATTAACTGCCATTAAACAAAATAGTTGTATGTTCTAATTCGCCATGTTTAAACGAACATACATTTGTTATTCAATAAAACCCAACAAAACCGTCAGGAGCCTGGAAATCATTGATTGCCGTTGGTTTCTGACTGCAATATTTGTTTCTGGCTTTTTATTGTTTCTCTTTGATAATCCACTGTTAGTCGTTTGTACTATCCAAACTTGATAAACCACTGTTAGTCGTTTGTACTATCCAAACTTTATAAACCAAGCAAATACTATAAATATGGAATGTTCTTAATTGATTGGATTTGTCATATAAAAGGGTCATGGATTAATTGTCTAAATAATTCACTCGTTTTCTCAACTCTAATCCCATCTATCCTATGTGGTAATCATGCAACAACCATTGCATATCATTACATGAATAAGATTTTCGAAACCGGAAGTAAACTGTTTTTTTTTTAATTTTAAATATTTCTCAGAATTTATAAGTAAATAAGCATTCTTTGGTAATGTCAGCGCAGATTCAACAATAAGATATTTTTCTTAGTCCGTCGGCTTTATTGTAACACAGTACGTGATTTATTATTGTGGATGGAATACCTGCAGATTAACTGTTTTGTATGTCACAAAGGATAATAATATTTACCATGCAGGTCTGAAATTTTTTTTCTGATATCATATTTAACATACTCTTTATATATTACACATCTTTTTTTCGAGATTCACAGAAACCATTATGTGATGATATAAATACAATTACAGATGATATGGATATTTGGAAAAATTTGTTTCATGTCCGTCAGTTATGTAGTATGCTGCTTCATTTATTAGAAAGTCATGATTACTTAGGAGAGCGGACTCGACAACTGCATGATTAGTAAATTTATATGTTATGGCTTATACTTTTATCATTTTAATGATGTATTATGAATTGTGTTGTAATTATTCTATTAATTTCATGTATGCCATCAACCCTCTTTAGGTATAACTGTGCATTCGATTAAAAAGTAAAAAGATAAGTGTTGTCAATGATCAATTTAAAATTCCCACAGTCAATGGGAATGCGGTAAGCCGGAAGAAAGAAAAACTCCATATTATATTCACATGCAACCATTATAACAGATTAACATTATATATCATAGCCAAATAGCAATTTAAAGTTCATATTATAAATATAATGATATGGTTTGTTTAGATTGAAGGACCGATGTTAGACAGTCCTCGTACAATGCGTCAGGTTACTTTGACGTAACTGTGTGCTTTGTTTGTCAAAACTGACTGCTTTTCGGACAAAAACAGAGCAGGGTGGTGGACCAAGATTAACTTCAGTTACAACTTTGAGTATAACCATTTTTTTCTTGAAAGTTATTTGTGAAATTGAATTTGTTTGTGTATCCAATAACTGTATGATTTTGATTTTCAAAACTGTAGAGCTTTTAAAATGACAGCTTTCAGTTATCACGTTTAACTTAAATCTTAGACGGACAAGCGGTTCAAAAAGTCAAACTTTTCAATTCTACATCAGTTACCTAAGGTAATAATAAAAAAGAGCAGCCTTTATATATATAATAATTGAAGATGATTATTTTGGTGGGAGTTTTAGAATAATACTATACAAGTTGTTCATGCTACTGCAATTGTTCGAGTCAGTTGTATATCATCAGGTGTTAAGTTGAGGACATAAATGAGTTCTTTTCGTTATTAAGTACTCTTTCTTTTTACAAGTATTTAAACAGTGACATAAAAAATGTCATCAAACATATATGTATAATATATTTAACATACTTTAGACTATCTCTGTCATTTTGTGTATATTATCTCGTTTAGAAAAGCTTGCAAGCCTTATATGATTCATGTACATTTTTTAATTGTATGAATAAATGGAGATATGGGTTAACGTCCATGAGAAAGTAACCCAGCGACACAAATCACCAAAAGGTAACTAGAGATAAACTTACAGTTTTCAAAAATAGACAGCTGTCCGTACAATATATCAAGGGCTTAGTCGCCTCAAGTTTAGCAAAGTTGTGACTAAGTTATACAGCAACTATCAAAGATCTGCCAGGCATATAAATATGTGGCTGGTTTAAACAAGTCTTTTGAAATCTCGACCATCTCTCGTGTACTCTCCATCAGTGAACTTACAAAAGATACATAAAAAACCTTCATAACAAATCGTATTTACTCTGAAATATTGGCATAATAAATAATAAACCCACGAGTACAAACAAAACAATAAAAGACATTATTACACCGTATAAAAGAGTATTCGATTACTGAAAAGTTCTTAAAGTTCTTAACCTGCTGATATATGAAATCATACCATTCTACACAGTTATAATGATGATGGTACTTCCTAGAAGATTGCGTACAAATTCTTCACAAACAGCACAGAAAGACATGATATTATGAAATGTCAAGAACAAATTGTACAGACTTGCAATGTTTTTGAAAACCAAAAGAAAACTTAAACTCTTGCAATACATTTTTAAATTTAGATTAGTGATAGATGTTTATTCCCCAAATAGATCAAAAAAGCCATATTTATAAATTTTGATATTACAACATCTACAATGTATGGTTACTAAGCCAAACGGAAAGATTTCAAGGACAATTTCTAAACATGTTAGCTATGTAAAGGATACCACCGTAAACAGCTGGATGCGAAATACCTGTCCCACATTTTAATGATTTCACTTCTTTTTTACTGAAATCGAAAATAAACGTAGGGACTCTGCATGATTGAGATTGTTGTTATTCTACATCTGCCTAAACTTTATTTTCATATGTCATGTTTTATATGAATAGTGAAAAAGTTTTGTATTTTAACCGACAATTACCGCCTCGGTGGTCTCGTGGTAGCGTGCTGCCTCGAGTGCGGTAGGTCGTGGTTTCGAAACCGACCGGGTGAAATCAAAGACTTTAAACTTGTTATTTGCTGCTTCTCCGCTAAGCATGAGACTTTAGGGAGTATGAGCAAAGACTGTTCTACTCGGAGTCAGAATAATGTGTCCATGTAGGGTGACATGTCTTCCTTCGGACTGTTGCCTTATTAACGTGCACTTTAAAATCCGACTTAGCGTGTCAGTCTAGTACAAAGCAGTGTGCATTTTCATATCGCATTAACATGTTCTCGTCCGGAATATGCATTTAATTTTCATTTGTTCATCACTACGATCTATTAAGAATAAAAAGTTGTTACACTTAGTCTAGTACATGTATATTGAATACAATGAAATAAAATGAAACTGAACAATGCCTCTTGAGTAGGTTAAATTGGATTCTGAATCTGCAATTCCATTAAATGAATGGGCACCTACTGAATGGGATATGAGAGCGGTGTAACAAATTTATGAACTCTCAGCCTCAAGTGTTTGGTTAATCTATGAAGAAATAGGTCTTTCAATATATAGATATATACGTGTATTCTTTGCTTTTCTTAAAGCACACAAAGTTGAAAGTTTGAACTTCAGAATTCACCAAAGAAATGTTATTCTCATGCGTTTAACCTGAAAAAAACCCCGTTGAAATAAAATTATTCTTCAGGATGTTAAAGGGGATCAAATACAGTTTCAAGGGAGTTAAATCTTGATGCTGCGACTTTGAAAGTTCGAATTCCCAATAAGGTGACTTTCGGCGGGACCACAGTATTTTCATTTGAACCGTTTACTGTCTCATTCTCAGATTGGAAACTTCAGAATAAAATCAACAAATTTAAGCGTGTTCATTGTATAAAGTAAAATGCATTAAACATGTTTTGCTCGTCATGCATGTTACTGGACGTGAGACAGCATGATACATTTTAATTGATGTGCAAACAAAAGTTATATAAATAATATGTGCATATTTTGAAAAGGACCTTAATTCATTTATCCAGTCCACACATTATCATATGAATTATACAAAAAAAAAAAAAAAAAAAAAATGAAAAACAGTAAGATTTTGGACACTCATTAAATGTTCGGATATGCTTAAGAACATTTTTACTGCATATCTCTATCCGAACTATGAAGAATGTGTTTAAAATATCATTGAAACAATCTCTTCACTTTTCTGAACATTTGTTACTTGTTACAACTTTTTTTTTAATTCATCGCCATCTTTAATCAGACTTGCTCGTACCAAAACATTGCGGCCAAGGGAAATAACCCCAACTCAAGATACTGCCATTGAAACTGGATATAAATTTAGTTTTTTATATAGATTAGACCGTTGGTTTTCCTGTTTGAATGGTTTTTTGGGACCCTTTATAGCTTGCTGTTTGGTGTGAGACAAGGCTCCGTGTTGAATGCCGTACTTTGACCTATAATGGTTTACTTTTACAAATTGTGGCTTGGATGGAGAGTTGTCTCATTGGCACTCATACCACATCTTCTTATATCTAATCAATATCGTAATACCAAGTAAGCCATTCTGACTTCATGTGGACTTTAGATATACAGTCTATCATATATATAGGGGCTTATTCCCATTTCACCCATTTCAAAGCACTACTTGTTAATAAAGCTGTATCGATCCTTCCAATTCATTCACTAGCTAGTTTTCAGCATTGTAAGATTTGGTACTGATTGATCAAATACCAAAATATTACTCATGTCTAACATTTTTGTATCAAAGCTACTTTGGTCCATAGGCAAAGGTAGTTTTTTTTGCGTTTATCATACTCTACACAGATGATATCATTATTTTTACTGTTATCTTTTTTAAGGTTAAAGTTCATAAGGTATTATTTCAATGATGAGTAAAATGTATTCAGAATAACTTATATTTGAAATTCTTAATTGGCTGCAATAACCGTGAAAAGGCTTATTTACATAGTAGGCTCACTGACTTAAATGTAAAAAAAAAGCACCTGATTCTTTACTTTGATAAAACTGAGTTACATACTCTAGTACATTATACTTATGATAAATAGCCTAGCAAAAATGTAATTTTTAATCATGCTACAATTATTTCAGAAATTCATTCAATCTTAAACAACGTTGTTAACAACTGTAAGGTTATAAATTGTATCAAAAATGACCTGTTCATTGACCAGTTCCTAAACAGGAACCTCTCCGATTAGTGGTTATCTCTTAATGTGCTTTGTCTTATCAGGATGTCGATGTTGATGGCAGATGTTTTTTATACAGTAGTCACTTTTACTTTTTACACCTCTCCATTGCTAGACGGAATGTTTCACCTCTAGATGTCTTCTATTTTTTAGTATCGTTATGTGGCTATTTCGTTGCAGTTTATCTTGTTAACATCTCATTTTGTCATAAACAGTAAGTCTTTATGTTACTGGTAGATCGATTCATTTCACAACGTCCACTGTTAAATATTTCATGAGTCAGGACGAGAACAAATTAAAAGGAGGTTGAATATACCAGAAGGACATTTAAAACTCATATGTCGAAGATAAACTGACAACGTCAAGGCAAAAAACGAAAAACTACAAACAGTTCAAATAAACTGAATACTGACCTAAGATCACCAAACACCGGGAATGAAGTCAGATACTCAAGAAGGGTAATCTGAGCCTGATCCACATGTGTGACTCGTCATGTTCATCATTGTAATTACAAATTCGGTGATAAGTCTCATTCGGTGATGTCACAATCAAGGAAAAGAGAGAGGGATTGGGATAACGGCAATTGAAACATACCAATGGTAAAATGAGACACAATTATTAACAATTTATACAAAAGGTAGGTTATGCAAGGTAGATAGACCAGGATGAATGGCGGAAAATGTGAAATACCACTGGCCAATGAGTATATGTTGAATAGGTTCAGACATTTTTGTCTTGCAACAGGCCACCTACGGACACTTTAGAGAGTTGTTACAAGGGTTCAGTATCGTGCCGAGAGGTTGCACTTACCCTACACGGGGCGTCAGATTAAACATACAAATATAAGCTCTGGTGAGCTTTTAAATAAATATAAAAACGTATACAAAACAAATAAAAGAAAGCATCATGCACATATAAAATATTCAACAGAATAAAGCCAAGCAACAAAGATTTCTAAAAAAATAAAAAAATACATAAAAAAGCAATTTATTTGAACTTAAAATTTGAGTTAATAAATAAATATAGAAAGCAGTATAATAATAAGCTAATTAAAAATGAGTTGCAGAGCTGACAGTATAATAGCGAAGACTTATAAATCAAATGCATGCAGAACATCGACATTTCGAACCATTCCAAGACTGAATCATGTTCTTTAATTGAGAAAAACTGTTTTCCGTCCTGAAATGGTCTGGAAGACTGTTCCACAGGCTAGCTACACCATATTTAAACGATTTTTTACCATAAGTAGATGTTTTTACCCGGGGAAAAATTTATATATTACTATATCTAAAAGAGTATTTTGTAGATTAAATTTTTAGAAAGCTGTTCATACAATACATGAAAGAGCAATATTATTTAATATCTTAAAAGTTTCTAGAGCCATATTCCTAATTCTGCGCACCAGAAGAGTTGACACCAATATAAACGGACGAAAAGCACGTCAATTGTTTTGACTATCATCTTTCGGACTTTACTTATTATATCCTTTAATTGTCATCTATAGCTCAAATTTTCCCACATATAATTGTCTTTTGGTTTAAAATGTATGTTTCTTTTAATCCGATAATGGGCTTCGTATCAACGTGTTATAGTCAGTTTGTAGCAGATAATCTTAACAATTGACAATAATTGCTTAATCCATAGTTACATGTATTTCTTTATTATTATGTTTTATATACTCATTAAAAATAATCAATCTTCAGTTTTTGGAAAGGTACTCTAACCGTAAATACCGGACTCAATATTGGATCATCGTTTATATTCTTTTCGATCGTTTATTAAATTGTTAAACTTTATACCGACTTGAATCTTCATTTGATAACCAGCAAATAGTCTGGTTATACATACTTATCCACAAGTTGTAAATATGTGGAGTTGTAGTCATCATAAACAAATCGGAGTGCTCTTTTTTGCACTTTTTAAAATTTTGTGGTATTGTTGTCAGTGCAAAAATGCCAAGCCAAAAGGCAAAAATTAAAATTACTCATAATGAAAGTATGAAATATAGTGAGTTTATTTAATTTGAAAGAAAAGGTCCCAAACGTTTCAAAATATCAAGCTGCTGAGATGCCTTTCTACACAAATTACTAATATGTAAATCAATATCCAACTAATGCCCAACAACTTTACCACAGTTTCACAAGATAAATTAGAATTTTGAATATGAATTGATTGGCTCTTCTCAAAAGTCTCTTTGCTAACTGCTAACAACTGGAATTTGTCAGTATTAGCTTGCATTCTATTAGATTTAAACCAGTTAATCAATTGTTTGGATTCATCTTCTAATGTAGATATTAGCTTATCATAATCAGGACTACAGAACGATAATGTGTTGTCATCTGCATAGTTATACAATGAGCTCTGATTAGTAAAATAAAAAATATCGTTTATAAAAACGTTTAACAAAAAAGGTCCAAGAATAGAACCCTGTGGCACACCTTTCTGGATGTTGCCAACTTTTATTTGTTGTTTTCTATTAGATAAATATGAATTTAAAAGGGACACGGAATGAGGAGAA